GGCCCAAGGGCTTGGCTAGAGCCAGTGCATTGCTTTATCCTATGTGGCACCGAATGTTGTTTCTATGACCCATTTGTTCTGAAACAAATTCATGGCATTTTCTGATGCAATCCCCAAAGTCAATAGGCACTCATGAGATCTTCATCCCGACCCCACCTACATGAAACTATTTTAATCTCCTCCCACCGGTTGGAAGACGGATTCCCTATGAGTTCGCATCTCTGAATCAGAGATAAGTTACAAAACTATTTATTCCTATATCGGTACGATCACTTACATTGTCCAATTACAATCAAATTAGTATTAAAAAAACAAAATAAAATAAAATTAACTTTCAATTGCTACCTCTTCGAATACAATTCTTTATTCAACAAATAAAACTAGACTTTTATTGTTTTATAAGAAAAGAAGATCAAAACATAAATAAATATTTAAAAAAGTAAAATTGCGGAAGATTATATTAACCGGGCTTAGTACACCCCACGCTTAGTCTCTTCTTTCCGATGGTGCTCGGGATCTGTAATCTGTATGTTGATTTCCCTACTATGGCAAAAATCTATTCAATAGCTTAATCTTGATCAAGCCTCATAGCTTGATTTTAGAGAGAAAAGAGATAGATATCAAGAGAGAGGGAGAGATGGGGTTCCAACCCTTTGCCACCCACAAATAAAAACACCACCTGGGCTTAGGCGTGCCACCCAAAGAGAATTCCCCAAACAGAAAAGAACAACCCAAAACAACTTGGAGAGAGATAAAATTGAGATGTGCCTCAAAATAGGGACGTGCCTCCCTTTGGTACTCTAAAGAGAGAGCAAAATTTTGGGGTAGGAAGAGAGACAATACATATGTAATTTTATAAAAAGGAGACCTCCTTTTATAGATTTTCTATGCCATAAATTTTGCCTCAAATTGTAAGGTTAAATCTCAACTGTCGATCTACGAAGACTTGTGGGGTGAGATATTTGAGTCATCCATCTCTTTGATCTACCATCAAGATTCAAAGAGATGAGCTAGAGCCTTATCCTCTCTTTCTTAAATCTATTTCCATCAAATAAGAAAAGTTTATATTTTAATACAACCAATCTTTAATTATTGAATCAAGATTGCAATCAAATAAAGAAAGTTTATATTTAATATATACATTCATTAATTATTGGATCAACCAATCTTGATTCAAATATTTAGTAAATATCTTAAATATTCAACATTTATCACATAAGTTGGCTATACCTAAAAAGGTAAGTCAACCAAGAGGATAAACATTCTTCCCAAAAAGAATACGGGAATGGGTGAGGGCTTGCTACCCTTTTGGTGGCCACGTGTGGGCCCCACCTAATCCATATCTTTTTAAATTTTGAACCCCATATTTTATAGAGGTTCCAAATATTTTTAGAAAATATTTTATTTCATATTTAGAATTTTTAAATATTATATTTTATTTAAAACATTGAAAAATTAATTTCACTTAATTTATAAATTCAAATGACAAAAATAAAATATCAACATATTCACAAAAATTCAAATAAATATTCTAAACATCACATAACATAAAATTAATTACTTTTGATGGGAATCGGATTCGTTAGATCTAAGAAATTATCAATACATCGAAGCACTCCACCTTCAACTGCGAATCAAGATTTGCCTAGCTTTATCAAACTGACCCAACAGTACCCATGACCCACAGTCCACTACAGGGATTCATGATTGAACCACCAAAGTCAGCCAATAGACTAGGGGACGCAATCCCAGTTTATGGATTTCAGGTTCTCCCCTAGAGACAAAAATTGTAGTCCTCTAGACCATGATGCAACCAATACTCTATGGTGCATAGGGGTAATCTCTCGCACATGTACACGCTTCACTCTCATTGGCGAATCTTAAAACGGCTAACTATATACATGTCATGTGATGATATAACGATAAGGTTTCATCAAGGGTTAACGCACTAAACCCTTCTCGGTTAGATCCCTATGCCCAAGTATCTTGGGTTTGTCCAAACCTCGGGTGGCCTAACTCGTCGAGCCTAGTCCTAGTATTAGCAAATATCATTTGCCTAGTATGGTCCACAAAAGGACCACACTCCCACTGGGTTTATGTTTCATTTATTAAATATGTTTTACACAGTCTCTCATAAGGCCTTTAGAGGCCACATAAACCCAACATCTCTCTTCCTCACTTTCTGTTATTCTCATCTCCCTTATATGCTTTATAAAAACATTTAGAGCTAGTCCTTTTATGAGTGGATTAGCTATCATCACCTCGGTGGGTATGTAGTTGATGTCAATCTCTCCGTACTGCACCTCATTGCGCAGATGATAGAAGAAGGGCTTTATATGCTTGGAATTTTTATGGAATCTAGGCTCCTTAGATATGCAAATAGCGGCCGTATTGTCATAGTAGAGTCTCACAGCCCCACACTGTATTGGCTTGAAATCAAGTTGATTAAGACATTTCCTAATCCATACAGCCTCTTTGGCTGCCAAGCAACATGGCACATATTCTGATTCCATAGTGGACAATGCTACTACATCTTGTTTCTTTGACTTCTAAGAAACAGTCCCTCCTCCAAACATGAACATATATCCAGATGTTGACTTTGCATCATCTGGATCCCCTTGATAGTTTGCATCGGAATATCCTTCAAGAGCGATTTCTGATCCTCCCACATATGTAAGTGTGTAGTTCACAGTCCCTTTCAAGTATCTCAAAATTCTCTTAACTGCTTTCCAATGCACTCTTGGATTGCATTGGAACCGGCTAACCATGCTCATGACGAAAGACAAGTCAGGTCTTATGCCTGTCATTACATACATAAGGAATCCCACTGCACTTCTATATGGTACTCTCTCCATAATTTTCATTTCCTCTACATCGACGTCACTGGGGCACATTTTATTACTAAGCCTTGTTTTCTTGTCAATCGGGGTTGTCATGGGCTTACATTTATCAATGTGAAACTTTTCCAACACCTTCTTGCAATAGGTCGTTTGGAAAAGTTGAATAGTTCTCTTCTCTTTGTTTCTTACAATCTTTATACCCAACACATATGAAGCTTCCCCAAGATCCTTCATATCAAAGTGTTGTGCAAGGAATTTCTTAGTTTCCAACACGAGGTTTATCGAGCTACTAATTATCAACATACTATCTACATATAGAGAGATGAATACATCACTCCCACTAACCTTTTTATATATACAAAAATCTTCTTGATTAGGGGTAAATCCTGTCAAAGACAAAGTCTCTTGGAATTTAAGATACCACTGGCGTGATGCTTGTTTTAGGCCATATAGGGATTTATTAAGTTTTCACACTAGGTTCCCTTTTCCCTTTTCTTCAAATCCCTAGGGTTGTTTCATATAAATTTCTTCTTCTAAATCCCCATTTAAGAAGACTGTCTTTACATCTTTTTTATGGACTTCAAAGTCAAAATGAACTGCTATAGCTATAAGGATTTTAATAGATTGAATTTTGGCAACTGGTGAAAAGGTTTTCTCATAGTCTATTCCTTTCGTTTAGTTAAATCCCTTGGCTACTAATCTAGCCTTGTATTTTTCTAGCTTCCCTTCTAAGTTAAGTTTCTTCTTGAAAATCCACTTGCATTCTATGGCTTTTCGGTTTCGAGGTAGAGGTACTAATTCCCAAACATGATTTCGATTAATGGAGGAGTATTTATCTTTCATGGCTTCTACCCCATAGTTCTTTTCAGAACAGGTTATGACTTCTCAATAAGTCTTAAGCTCATTATTTGGTTCTTCCCCAATCCTATCATAGTGTTATCATAGTGTTCTCTCAGGTAGGTAAAGTGTTCAACGTATTGAGGTGGTCGTGTAACTCGATTACTTTTTCTTGGTTTGAAAAGCTCAGATTCTATTTGAGGTTGGAGTTGAGGTACAGGCTCGGGTTCTCAATTCTAAACCTTGTTACTAGCCATCTCAAAAAGTTTGGCTTACGAGTAACTAATTCTTGCTTCAAGGAATTCATCTTCGAAAGAAATGGACATCTCGGCTTTCAATGACTGCCCCATTTTTTAGGTTGCAGAATCAATACCCCTTACCATGATCAGGATAACCAATGAAGATGGTGTTGACAATTTTGGGATCTAGTTTTGTCTGATTTGGGTATGGGATAAGGACATGGGCTGAGCAACCCCAAACTCTTAAGTGATTGAAAGACGGAGTACGACTAATAAATATTTCATGAGTAAGAGGGGTAGCTTTGGTGGGAGTCCGGTTCAAAATGTAACCGACTGTTAATACTGCTTCCCCCAAAAAATCTAGAAAAAATTTTGCATGCCCCATTATACTTCTCACAATTTCTATCAAGGTCTTATTTCATCTTCCTACTCTCTCTCTCTCTCTCTCTCTCTCTCATACAGATTCTTGCCGAATAAGAAAAACTCAGGCAAGTTGACTAGGATTCGCCTAAGTCACTCAAACTCAACAGGCTGATGAGTGCGAAACACACACAACTCGGGGTATACATATTTATAACTAATTAGTATATTAATAATATATGCAATCATGGACTAAATCAATTCTAATTAATTTACAATTAACTTTCTATATACTTTTGATGCTTTTATTATTTTTAATGATTCTTCTATTGTTCCACACTTGTTTTGAGAATTTTTTTGAGCAAATGATCACCGGCCCTCTATTTTTACTTTTTGGAAACTTTTTTATCACCTTTTATATACTTTTTGTATTATTTCTAGTTTTTCGTCCTGATTTTTAGGGATGTAAATGTGGTAATGTGGTCAAAACACCACCGATTGCAACATCTTACAATAGAAAAGAAAAGAGCTCCTGAGGTCTTTTCATTCCTATTGTACTTTTTGCAGTGGAGCTCTGCATTCATAGAAAAAGAGGGGGCATTGACGCAGCCTAAAATAAGAGGCATTAACATTCAGTAAAGAGACCAATTTCTGATCAATCAGCCAAAAAACAGAGACAGAAACCTAAGTTCTACAAAATAAAGAGAGCGAAATCTAAGATCCCATAGGCTATTCTTACTGGGCACTTGCAAAAGATACTTGCAGAAAATAATTCACATTCTAGATATATCACCATGATGTTGGTACAATACATGTCCAGCCTAATATGGGGTGAAAGGCATTAGCCTCATAATATGACAACTACAAAACCTTAGAACCGTACTGAACCAACCGCACTGTTAAGTATGAGCAATGGCTACATGAGAAACACAAATCATAATTATGTTCTACGGCTTTAGAAGAACTCAAAACCAATCCATAATATCCATTATATTTATCATTCAATGAACAACAAAAATATTGAGCTCAATGTCTAAGCATATCCATCGTCAAACGTAATTTGAGACCACACCATAATTAAAATCAAGGCATTTCTAGAAATGACGCATGTTAAGCTCAACATTATTGAAAAAGAGACGAGGAAGCTTATTCACGTTGGTGCATCATGAGCAAATTATATTGAGCACATGCTGCTTGCATTAGGAAATTTACAAGACCATTTCAGGAGTTGAGGTCTCAACTATGCATATGCTCCACAGAAAATCTACTAAATACAAACTCATACCTGCAGCACTTTGTGCAGATACAACTCTCAGTTCATTCTTTGCATTTGAAAGATAATAAGCCCTTGCATCCCCAAGAGATAGCTAATAGAAGGAAATGAGTTATATTTAAGAATATACAGTACCCAGCTATAATAATCAACAGAAAATATGGTCACATGATACTTAGTACAGATATAGATGAAATTTGAAAGCTTCTCATACTCATGTTTTCTTGGCAGAATCAATGATGTCAATTTTAAACCAGTAAAAAAAATTGATTTCCAGGCCAAGCAAGTTCAAATAATCTCTGCACAATCCAAGTGAAACAGCCCTTGTGTTTTTTAAATACTGACAAATATAAAAAAATTAAGGAAAGTGAAAGGTGCCGACCCCAAATAATTAGGATAAGGCTTGAAGAATGATGAAAGAAGGTAAAACCTGAAACTGCTAAGAAAAAGTTCAATTACAGTAATCAAGAGACCACTGTAACTCTCAAAATGAACTAGGGTTTAGGAAGGAAGGATGAGAATATGATGAAGAGGGTAAAGAAAGATTAGGGTTTAGAGGAGGAAGAGATTATGAATCTTCAAGAGAGAAATATAGGTTACCTTGATTAGAGCTGATCACACTGAGAGCACATTCAAACCAGCTCTGATACCATGTTAACTTTATTTATGTTGACAAGATCTTGCACCTGGAACACAAACAAGAGGAAGAAAAGAGAGAGAAGACAAAGTGGCATGCTGCGCTTTAGCCTAAACAGAACTGGACTATAGTACCATGCCCAGGATAATGAATGTTGTTACATTAGGGCAACAACTTTACAAAAATGCCTTGTACACGTACATATTTCCAAATACAAGCAAATTGAAAGAACGACATAAAACAGGTCTTCTTACACCTGCCTAGGTGGAGCGTTGCACTTTAAAAACATCGATTGTGAACACAAGACAACCGTAGTTTTTTACTTCATAATGTCATCTACATTTTTTTACCTCGTAATGTCACTTACATTATCATCAACAACCGTTAATATACCAACCCTATTTTTGCATGGTTGCAAAATTGCTCCTTAATTAACAATGATTGTCCCTAAATTGCCATGGTATACACCAAATTAGTTGTTTCAAGGTGGAGGAGTTTTACTTTTTTCAATTTTCAAAGTAACAAACCTCACAAAACTCCATGCAAAGATTCGTAAACATTTGGCCACACAAATCCATGTGGAAAATTACATTTTGACCCATCCATTAATCATATTATTCCCAAGTAATAATCATCTAGAGGTTGCTAACGGCTTCCAGCCTCCAAGATGGAATATCAACTGTCTTTCTTGAGTCAAAAGAAACAAAAAAATGATGCTCAGATCCAATGAACATATAATGAGATTTCCTAAACCTTCATAATAACTTATGTCATATATCCTCATAAAAGACGAATATTCCTAGGCAGACACCATATGATTTTGGGCCATATTTTTTAATTTTGAATTTTGGCTTTTTTAATATTTCATAATACTATTTTCAATCTCTCATCTACTAATATCTCAGATATCTCAGCATGTAACAAGTCAGATATGAGTCACATCGATCCTAACTCAGACTCGACCATACTAGGACTTGGACATGGTCAAGCGCAGGTCCATTAGATCTATACCTAAACCTGCACCCAACCAACAAGTTGGGATGAGGAGCCCTAACCTAGACCCGAATGGGAGATGTTGGTGTTTGTTGCCTTTAGAGCCTATAAGAGAATGTAAATAAAAATTATAGTGTACTACACACTTCAATGGGAGTGTGTGTGTTGGTTGACTAACCTAGGGCTAGGTAGTTTATGACCCTGATCAAGGCCAAAACCCTTTACCTCTGGGTAAATGGCACTACCAAAACGATCTCAGGAGGGTCATCCCTTGTTGAGATTTGAGAGAGCCCAGGGATGGTTTGTAGGCTAAGAGAGCTCTGTGATCTCCTGTGTGCGGATGTAGGCATGTGAGAGTGAGAGATGAATCCTCAACAAACTTGTGCATAACATGTACACATGATAGATATAAAGTGCGAAGCAATCCTTCAAAAGGATACGTGTACAGGTGCATAGAGAGAATCTCCCTTGCACTATAGTGATATGTGCGTGTGACTTCCATTTAAGGGGGAGAACTTGTAATCCACATTCTAAGACCGTAATTCCAATATTTATTAGCCAACTTTGAAGAGCCAATCATGAGTCCTTGCATGAGATTGTGTGTCATGGGTCTCATTGGATTGGTTTCAGAAGATAGTCGAGGATCATGGTTACTGGGTTGGGTGGAATGCCCTGACAGTCCCTTTTCTTGATCCATTGGTACAAATCCACTTCTTGAAAATTTGTTTCTGCTTAAGAAATGATTTTATGTTTTTTAACAAATTTTAAAGTCATTTTCAGCAATTAAAAACCCTAAAAGGGTGTTTTTGTAATTTCCAAATATCTCTGTATCATTAAGGGACCGAGTGGGGGGCCAAGGCCCCAACACCACAAGGTGGCAGCTCCACATGGGTATGGGATGTGGGGCTCGAATGGCCCACACGTCTGGCCTAGTGAGGAAGCATTTTTTTCATTTTTGTTAAGGATTAAGCTATGTATTTTAATAAAAATATTTTATTAAAGAAGGAAATCTTATGCGATCTTTAAAAAATATTGTGTCCATATTTTGTGGTAGTTGAGAATATTTTAACCAAATATTTTTGGTTTTGAGTTCCTACAACCTTTTGTGAGAGAAAAAAAAATTCTAGCCAAAATAGAAGGTGTGTGGTTTATTGGTCTTATCATAGGTTGACTAGAAGTGGATGGGGATTCAGAGGATAAGGTTTCTATATTCCTCTCTAAATCATGATGGCTAATTCATGGGATAGATGGCTCAGATTTATTTCTCTCTCACCTCTCATATTAGGTAGGAGTCCCATGACTAAGATTAATTCTAAATCCGATAGGGTATACCTAGACCCGTTTGATGGCTATAAATAGAGGGCAGACCCCCCTCATTCTCATTAATCTGAAATTTCCTAGCCTTTATCTCCTCCATGGGTCCCTCTCTGTCCCTCTCTCTCCTCTCTAGTTCCAAGGGGGTGGCATGCACCACTCTAGGAAGCTTGAGGTGGCACGCCATCCACATTTATCATAGAGGGCATGCCCAACCCATTCTAAAAAAAGGGAGGTGCCAATAAGGTAACATGCCCTAAGAGTTTAAAAGAAGGGTCTAGAAGAACTCCAATTTTGTTTCATGCTCCCAAAAACCCCATATCTGAAAAAGGTATTGCCTGGAGCTTCCGAACTTAAAGAATTGAGCAGAAGCAATAAGATCAGAGTGTGCCATCGGCTAGATAATCGGGTATGGGGTGTATCGAGTCCTAAAGGGGTGACCCTAGGCAAAGTCACGCAAGTTTTCTCAGTTGTTCTGAGTTTATTCAGTCAAAATTATTCAATTTGTTGCAATTTCCATTAACATTATTTACATTGGAATTTATAGTTAAAGCTTGTAATAAGCCCTAGATTGAGTTCTATCCATTTGGCAATAAAAAGAGGAGATCCTAAGATGTATTTAGGGTCTTATTTACAGTCTACAATGTTGTTTTCTGGCACTTGTAAATGAAATTCAGATATATTAATAAAAAAAATCTCTCTATTTACTCTCTGGTATTTGGCAATAAAAAGAGAAGATCCTAAGATGTATTTAGGGTCTCATTTATAGTCTACAATGTTGTTTTCTGGCACTTGTAAATGGAATTCAGATATATTAATAAAACAAATCTCTCTATTTACTCTCTGGAATTCCATATAGCCACTTCTTTCAGTGGTATTAACGATCAAAGCAAACATATTGTACTGCCATTGTCTAGGAATTATCTTTTATTCTTGAGTCAAGAAAGATGGCAGCTAAAGTTTTATGGTTGTACTTATTACATGTAAAAAACAGAGGATAGGATTGTGCAAGCTGAAAGAGGAAACTTAGCTATATCCTCTTCGATGAAGGACTCAATAAGATGCTTGCAGAGATCCCCCAACCTGCCAAGAGGGAATGCTCATGAAAGGCAATCTGTAAGGGATTGCAAGTGTTATTAGAATCAAGACTTGCAAGGTCCTCTTGCATAGTTCGATGCCACCACAAAAGTTAAACAGCCTGGGTAAAGGACCAAGAAGGATCAGCATGGAGGGCCATAAAACAGACATGTGACGAAGTAACCTAACAACAGAGTATATCAAATGATCAAGGGGAATTGAGAGTCTACAAAAACAAAATACCACTTCACAAAGGCCATGACTCACCAACGTCGTGCCTAACTAGTGGATTAACTGATGCTCTACACATGCCCACATCAGATATGGAAGGGGAGAGGGTGGGAGTGCTGTAATATTTCTATTGTTGTAAATCAGGGTGAATCAGGAATTTAATTATCGATTAAAGACACATTATCTTTTTGTATTTGTGAGAGCAATTACGAACATGCCTAGGTTCCTCGTACCTAGTTTGGGCTAGAACTACTATTTTCTATTGATAAGGGGGGCTCATAATTGGCCAATAACAGGCCCAATTGTACCCTATGGGCGATGACCCATTTGGACGAATCACATTTTGGGAAACGTTATTCTTTTTCCCTCCAATTTAGGAGTGAAAAATGGCTCAGCTTGGTCCACTCCACAATTCTAGGGATACAGAATTTTGAAACCTGCTTATCAACAAAAGATCATCAAAATGCCCCTAACCTAGTACAAAAATAAAAGGAAAAAAAAATTGTTTTTCCCCATTCATAAATTTCTCCCATGCTTATTGGAAACATTCAGCCTTCCAAATGGGACCTATATAAATACCTTTCTTGGGAATGAGAATGACTTGAGTTGTCTTCTCCACAAAACCTACCTACTCCTCTTTGACTGTGCTCTTCCCTTTCATACCCACACTTCATATCGAATTCAGTAACTAACTATGCACAGTTTGTCACAAAGGTCCCTGAAACAAACAAGCCATCAAAAGAATGCAAAGTTACATAGACTAGGCATATGAAGCTGTAATCGTCATCACATTCCTCTCCCATCATGCGTAGACAACCCAACATGATTGGAGGCCAACTGGAAAGTCGGAAGAAGTAATTAGGGTTACACAAAGGAATAATAGTATCATGGCTTTGAACTTGAAACCACCAAAAACTGACACAATATATAAGAAGCCAGTGATCTAGATCGTAAATGTGATCTAAATTATAAACATAAAAAATAAAAATACAGAACAATCCCATAACAACTTTTTGGAATTTTTTCATATAACCTAAGGTGTGTACACAACTTGGGGTAACTTGGCCTCGCCCATAGGCCGAGTTGCTCACCTGAGTCCGAGTGGACTAGCACAATCCTATAACATCAATCGAATTTAACATGCTTACATGTTTGTCCAATGAAGTAATGACCTACCAAACCATCAATCAAATAAAAAATATGAATGGCAAACCCCAAAAGGATGCTTATTTCACTAAAATAATTTCTTAATCGGTATCCTAAATATCCTAAGATTCTTCAAAGTTCAGATTTTCCAAGATGACAACAAATTAATGATACACCCTATCCAGCCAGAACATCAATCATAAATAAAATACTAAACTTCTTTAGCATGCTATGAAGGCATACTCCACAATCATTAAACAAGGAAGATGCAAATAGTACTGAGATAAGGTTGGAGTTTCACTAAGCATGCCATAGAATAGGACTTAAACACATGAAATAGTGAGTATGCATGAAACAAATGTTGCCATACTACACCATAACTTACCTGATCATTCAAATAAATTTTTCTCTAACAGACTTTGGTCCAACACACAGGATATCAGCTGAAGCCATTCTAGCCATCACCTTCGTTACCTGCCAAAGTGAGCCAAAGTGTATGACACAGTTATTTATTTTTAACAAGAAAAATTTAGCTGTGATGCAAATCATAAGAAGAAAAGAAATAGCAAGTGCAAGAAATTTAGATCCTGAATGCATTTTTATACAGATAAAAAATATACAAAAATAAAAAAACATAATGCTGATGGTTATTAATACCTAACAAATTCCATCACGTAGGGACGCATCAAATTTAACAAAAGATAAAAAGATATCTTAATCATTTTGATCCAGTTTCCAACTATTATGGTTTTTACTCTATCTTCTAGTACTTTCCTTTTCTTTTCTTTTGATTGGTTGTAAGAGCACCCAACTTGTGATTCATTGGCCTATATATATTATAAGTCAACACATTCTTCAAAAAAAAGACATTCGAATTCACACAGAAATAAAAAAGATATCTTAATCATTCTTTATTTCAAGCATCATTGAAATAAAGAAGGTCAATCACATTCTACACAGCTTAAAGAGTTCAAAAGATATGCAGCCTATTATGATGCAAAGCCACAAAAGCAATTAAAGTTGTCATCATCATCACCATCATAACCTTTTTCCAATTAATTTGGGTCGGCTACACGAATCTTGGTCCGCCATTCTGTTCTATTAAAGGCCATATCCCAGTGAGGCCATAAGTCCCCATATCTTTTCAGATTACTTCCAACCATGTCCTTTTGAGCCTACCCTATGCCTTATTTAATCCTCCACTTGAACTAATACGCATCTCCTAACAAGTGTCTTACTGGGTCTATGCCACACATGGCCAGCCCACCTATGTCTACTCCCTCTCATTGTATCACCTATTGGTGCCACACCTAAATTTTCCTAACTGGATTCATTTTGAATTCAATCCCTTCTTGTCTTGCCACTCATCCATCTCAACATCGTCATCTCCACTATACTCATTCTATTGGTAGATTGTTTTATGTCCACCCAACATTCTACCCCACAGCGAAAAGCTGGTCTCACAAAAGCAATTAAAGTGAAAAGCCACAAATTGTTTTCTTACAAGGTTACATAGGAATGGAACTTGAAACGTTGTACTATGAAAATCCAGCCTCTACCCATCTACCCTCTTGACCCAAGCTCGATTCCTAAGTGCAAAACCTAAACATTGAGCTTAAGAACATTTTTTACCTGTCACATAGAATCTAATCTCATGATATGGGACTAAATGACCATCTGATAAATTAGTAGTGCAGAATAACTTCCTATAAATAAATGCATAAGGAATCCAAAATGCTAATAACAAAAGGAATCCAAAATGCTAATAACTCTTTTTTATGAATTAAAATGCTAACAACAAAATTGAAGATTTGGTGAACTAAAAGTAATATTGTTTAATGGCAGAGAAAAAACAACATTTTGTATCCTTCTTGAATGAACACATATACCACAGAGCTTAAGTATCATTTGGGTAGATGATCCGTGCTTTTACTTCACTTGTTTGGTAAGCATTCCGTATACAAGCTTACTCTACAGTCTCTTTTTGCTTTTTTTTTTCTTTTTTTTTTTTGGGTGAAGTGATTACTCTACAGTCTCTTTTTGCTTTTTTTTTTCTTTTTTTTTTTTGGGTGAAGTGATTACTCTGCAGGATGCTAGAATTAAGGATAAAAGCTAGTCATAGGCTCCCTAAACAAAAACTATTCAAAGATCAATAGCCCTATTTCAACCAAATGAACAACTGTTTTTATAGAATATCAACTGGATCCTGTGTATTTAAATAGAACACAACCATGGGAAAAAGCACAGGTGGTAGGTTGCTAGGGAGGGACATTCTAATATAATCCTATTTAAAGAACAAAATAAGGTTAGTTGTCATGGAAAATCCCCCTTACAAGAGACATAGGCCTCACCTTTCTTTTCTTTTTTTCTTTTTCTTTTTTTTTTTTAAGATCAGATTGCAGAGTAGAGTTAGCACAGATAAATAGGGCAAAGCAAAGATGCCGAGATACGGGTTTGTGTATGAACATGGATAGGAGAACGAGGAAATGAAAGTGTAGCTCAAAGTCCAGGACATGGACACATATACAAGTAACCTATCTAACACACCTATAAATGTACGTTGTTGGCCGCATAATAGAAAAATATTTGCAGCCCACACACTGATACACATATATAAATATCATAATGCCTAATATTATATTCTATTCATATTATATTTTTTAGTTTTTTTCTTGGAAAGTGTTCACATTATTTTCATTGAAGTATAAGGTATAAAAAAAATTCCTGACGAGAAGTGAGTCTCAGGCATCTCACATCCTAGGTGTTCTCTTTATTTTACTAGAAGTTATGTCTTTATACATTTACAAGTAGGAAAAAGTTTACATGCGGGCATGCCTGTGTGCTACCCACGTCATTACAAGTATCCTAGCAGTATCAAACATCTTTTCTTTTCTCTAAATTAACATGAGGTTTGAGCAGGTACCCCACCCATTATATTAATACAAGAAACAAATACATAGTGTATATACAAAAAATAAAAGTAGCACAAGAGGTTTCCACGTGTAAGTATCCTCACTACAACACTCACTCAAAGCTCTTAGTGTGAGGAAGATGCTCGCATCTCTCATAAATATCACATTGGGAGTGCTATGTCCAGAACTCTATTTTAAATTTCCAAGTAATTCCTCTCATCGCCACTTGAATAGATTGATTGTATTTTGTCACCCTCCAGTTCCTTTCTTTCCAAGTTACCCCATATGATGATAGCAAGATCTAACCTCCACATTTTATTAAAGAACTTGTTAGAAAATTGCTTTCAGTCCATCATCAACCTTCAATCACATCTGCTATACAGCTCATATTGCCCATTTCCAGATATATTTTGTGCCTCCTATAATGATGCAAAATGGAAAACAAATAATGTACGCACAGACGCTCCAAGTAACACAGTTCCTAAACTATCCTATTCACTCTACTCACAGGCAAGCGATAAGCCAACTGCGAGATAATGCAAAAGAACTTAAGAAATGCTACGATAAACTGGAAGGAATTCTGTGATGCTCATTGTGGCCTTGTAAGGCACATATAGATAGATAATTGGCATCTCAAAGACATAAGGCATCTCATAATCGTGGTGCAAAATAACATACCTCACAAAATCATGAGCACACCAAATGGTGACCCGCGACATTATTTTACAAAAATAAGATATCATAAAGAATATACTTCCAGATATGTGTTCTTCAATGACTGTAGAATGTTACAGAGAAGTTTGTTTTATCACCTATTCTCATTACAACCAAAAGAAAAAAATGAAAATGCAAGACCCAAACGACCCAAAAACAGAGAATGACATATCCCATTGTATCAATCTGAACTGACCTTCTGCAACTGTTCCAACATCCAAGAATAAATTGCACGACCAAAGAAGCTCCAATAAGGAGGACCTCACCATGATAAACCTTAGGCCCCAAAATGCACTTAGCACCTCTTCTTCCTTGACTTGAAGTATTTGGGTGTGTAGTTATTTAAAATTTCAGAAGAGGAATGAGCTTCAGCCACTGTCTTATGCCAAATTGACTGTCTAAACGAGCATGTAGCATTGCTCTGGGTGTGCCATGATCACAATGATTGCAGATAGGAACCAGTTACACTTTGGATGTCCTCTTTCATTGTGGAGCAGAATCGAATCAAACTGCATACTGAGGAGAAACCCTAACAGCAATTCCTGCAACCTGCGCTTGCATCTGTGCAGCCCTAACTTTTGCTGAAGTGGCTCTGTGAAAGAACTGCTCTCGTGATAGAGCCCTAATGCTCTTCAAATACGCATCGAAAGGGATGGCACCCTCTTGCACAGCCTTGTCAAGCAAATAAATCACGTCCTCGATAGCCAAATCTGCAGCTGTGCACTCCAACATCTGCCTTGACAATGCATCAATGGGCTCAAAGACATCATCAATGTCAACAACCCCTGCTTTCTCCTTTGTGTCCTCATTCTCCTTGAGCCATGCCTCGAGCACATCAGCGTTTGTGAGCACAATCTGAAGCTGTTGCTCCAGAGCTTCTTTCTCATCCTGCATCTCTCTCAACCCCTTAGTGAGCTGCTCTTCCCTCTCTCCAAGCACCGCCTGGGAATTGAACAGCGCATCGACCTCTGCTTCCCTCGCCTTCCGCAACTCCATTGTGTCATTATGCAACATCTCAAGCAATCGGTTAATCGCATTCCTCTTATATACCTCCAAAGGGTCCTCCATAGCTGGTGGCCTCTGAGGTGAGGGCGGCAACCTACCGTATGGTGATGAGCAAGTCCTAGGCGGCAACACTGGTCGAACACTTCCACTGTTTGAGGAAGTCGTAGCCAACGAAGAACAAACCAAATTAGCTTCACTAGTGCTAGGCCTTTGAGGTGGTGGTTTCGCAGCCGTAGCGGTGGTGGTGGTGTAGAGAGGGGAATCAAGGCCAAAGTGGTGGCTGAGGTTCTTAACAAGGTCCACAAGGTTCGAAGATGGGTAGACCCAATGTTGGAGATAGGGCACCGAGACAAGGCCTGACGGGTTTACATTAGGGTGTGCGCGCTTGATGATCATGTCTCGAGTAGGGGTGACAAAGACAAGGGGTGGAAGGCGGGAGTAGGATTCGACGAGCCAAACGACGGCCGGGATGTTGTAGACTACATCATGGTACACCATGGGGATGGTACCCTCAGCCTGGAGGAGGTTGACAGAGCGACCGTCATTGTGTGTGAAAGTGGCAGTCTTCACCTGGAGGGACGGGAAGTGCTGCACCAGGCCCACCAGGTGCTGGCTAATGAGCCACTTCGCTTCCTCCTCGTACGGCAGGGCAGACGGACCTCGCTGGGAGAGCACGTTGTTTAGGAATTGGACCGACAGTTGGTTCGCGTTGAGGGTGCCTACAGGACCGACCATTGCTACTGCTGATTTCTTCTATTCCCTCTCCCACACCTCTTATCATAGGTTTTGAGTTTGATGGATTGAGGAAGGCCTCTCCCACACCTCTTTTCAGAGGTTTTGAGTTTGATGGATTGAGGAAGGGGCTGCGTCGATTGTGGTTTGATTCAATTTGATTTGAAGATGGGGATTTCAGAGAAGATGAAGAAGAAGACTGATGATCTATCGGTTAAAGCACACAGAGAGACAGAGTAATGAATTGGGAACCAGGGGGGAAGAGATCGAAAAAGGAGAGGCAGCCGTCAATTGGATTGGATTGAATTTGAACCGCTCACCATGGATGCAAAGGTAAGGAAATTCACAGGAAATCGAAGCCTGAGTAATTTAGAGAGAGAAAGAGAGTGGGACCGATGGGTTGTAAAGGGATTAAAACAGGTAAAGAGAATGAGGAATCTTACAATTCCTGCCTAATTTCCCTTAGGACCTTTCTCACTTCCCACCACAGGGAAGAAACACAGAGAGAGAAAAACCTAATTTCCCTTAAAGAGAGAACCTAATTTAGAGAGAGAGAGAGAGAGGGCAGAGGGCAGGTTCATCTGAGGGCGACGTCGATTTATAATGTAATCCATATGACCACCGGGAAAAAGGTGCGCCATGAAGGTCATCACCCTCAAATCCGATTATTTCGATGACGGTAATCAAGAGAAGCCGGACTCGGACCCTTGTATGAAATAAAATAGAGAAATTCTTCAAAATAGCCATAAGATATAAGATATGGATTATTTAGTATTTTACGTATGACTTTTGATTTAATTTTACACTACATATTAAAAAATGGGTGTGGTTTGTATAGGGCTGAGGCCCCAAACAACCAAAAGAAGGCGCACTTTTAAATAGGATCGGAATATGCTTTTCGGTATTGGAAATCTTTGTGATGTCTTGAAACTTTATTTTCATATATGACTATAAAATTTAAAGCTTCAAAAATAATATAGGTCGAACAGATCTATAAACATTTAAAGAATTTTGAAATTTGAAAGTCTAAAAATATGTTATAAGATAGCCTATTTCTAATTGTTTAGGGCCACGCTCTTAATATAAACATTTTCTTTAGAAACCAAAGTGAACAATATTTTAAAAAAAATTCTTGAACTTCATGATACACTCAATATATTAGATTTCACATAACTTCCTTGGTAAATGATCTTCTTGTATGCAATCCCAATGTTAAATAGCTTTTCTCTTATAGGTAGTTTGATCAATTCCCAGTTAGAGTATCACTGACCCTCAAGTCGATACGACTCAAAATCGAAATCATTGATTTAGATCGAGTAGTCCAAGCTGATTTGAAACGTTGTATGGAGTTCATCAATATGAAAGAAAAAAAAAAAATTTGAAAAATAAAAATAATAATTTTATTAAAAAAACATTTGGACTATTAGTTACATTTGTTTTAGATGGACCACTTGTTTGCATCCATCTTTAAGATTGATACTTTATACCTCTGGACCGCATATTGTAGAAATGTGGTCCAGCTTGCATGAAATAATTGTTCTTTCAAGAATTGCTTGGTTTTCAAACTCAATCATTTGAAATTTTAGTGAACAGTTTTTCACATGTTCTCTATAAAATTTCAATTTCAATGGATTAAAAATTGCATTAAGTCATCATATCGGCATTATTTTGCTCCAAATTGACGGATCTCACTTTCAAAGCTTCTAATTTATGGGATGTGAGATGGAAATATATTTCCAATAATTTGAGATCTGCTTGAAGTCCAAGGTCAAAGGAGCAAGTGGAGCGGCTCACGTCGTGTACCTTTCCTCTCATTAAACAACTCACACTTTTAGAAGGTACTTTTAGGACCAAATATCAGTATTTGATGATCTAGACCGTTGGATTTTTTTATCTTTTATTACTTCATGATGTAGCATAAATGGTCTATTTTAGAGCGGTAAAATTATAGGATGCGTTTTTGTTATTAGTATTAGTAAAAATCCGACAAGGGGGCTTCTCCCCCACTATCTTACCCAAATAAAATAAAATAAAAAAGAAAAATAATGTAACTTCCTCAACCTAATGTCATGTAAGAAATAAGAAAAAAAACCAAAATATTATGTGCTTGCTAAAAGAACAAATAATGCCCTAAAATTGAGTATGTGCAACCCAATTTACGACAGCTAGATAGAAGTGTTTAGATGATCAAAAGCCAAACTTTTCCTTTGATAATGCTCGAATTGCGATTATGAAATGGACCTTAATTTTGATATTGAGAAAAAATACCTTGGTACTTTTTCCCAAGGCAGCAAATATGTATTGTTCTCCCATGATAGAATAGTACACATGATTATTTAGGCAAGAGGATAATTTCTACATCTGATAAGTAACCATACTCATCACTTACTTTTCCACTTTTGTCGAGTGGTAGGGTGCAAGTTCACAAATTAGGTCTCCAATTAAAAGAAGCAAAGTATATAAAGACTATTTACTTTTACTATAAAGAGGCCGCTTTCACCCATCTGCCATATATCAAATTGGGTAGTCATAAGTGTGTTATTGAATAATTCACCATGCTCTTACGGTAAAATGGTTTTGCTTCCTAAAAAGCTACTGTTTTATGTGGAAAATGGGGGAGTTTAAAAGAACATAGGATTAGTATTTACGAAGATTTTTGGAAGCAGACCTCAGGTAAAGAATCTATGGTTGTTTGTCAAATGATATGAATCTATCTCAAGGGCAAAAATTTATATGGGGAAAACCAAAATTATAGGAATTAATTGTTCAAAAAAAAAATATTCAGTTGGATTGGTTGAGTTTTTACAGTAGATATCTTACCCTCAAAATATTTGGATATTCCATTTACAGACGAAAGATTGCAAATTTCAGCACGGTATCCAATCGTCCATAGTGTTATTTTAAATTGGATGGATGGAACAATAGATATCTATCTTTTGGAGGATGAAAGCCTGTTTATCGTTTTTTCCAATGGTTTAAAAAACGGATCGGTGACCTGGATCGGGCTTCCAAAAAATGGATCCGGATCGGCTAATCAGCGATCCGGATCGGGAATCGGGTGAATCGGTCAGAATAAAGCTTAAAAAAAATCCGAAAAAATTATTAAAATTCATTATAAATATTATTTTTTAGGAATTCAATAAGAAATGAGGGTACTCCATTAAGAATTTTCATGTTTTTGAATGAATATACGAATATTGATGTGTTCTTTCCCTGCATGAACCGCCGTTCAACATTTAATTTATAGCACACAAAGGATAAACATAGAATTATCATGGAATAAGTATATCAACCTACATGGACTACAATAAAGCATAAAATTAGTAACATTTGATCTAAAAATAAAATGATAGACGACGTTATTGTTCTTCTTGGTCACGCTGGTGCCATTGATTGAATTCGTTTAACAATTAATTGATTCGATCTAAAAACGAATCATCGATATTAGCAGGCGTCTGACTATTCCCAAATCTTTGAGTGTTAGTGTTTTGTTGTGTTCCCAATCTAAAATCCCCGAAGATTATCCATCCTTCATGCTCACCTGCACTGTCGTGCTCATCCCTACACTGTTGCTGTTGGGACTCGATATGTGAATAATATCGCTGGGATAGGGTGGCCTCAGAATCATCATCTCTCTCATTTTCTCTTTGAATAATAA